AGTTATGATAGTAAAATGATAATTTCAACGCACATTGGAACACGAACTCTCATGCACTATCATTGACTATCCTTGACTACCATGTACTCTGGACATGTTCAAATTTGCCATGATAGTTTACAATAGTTTTTACCATTTGAATTGAGCAGATGATGGTGAATGATAGTTTTTCAGTCAGCAGTTTTGCCAAAAATGGGCTCAAACCGAAATGTCAAATGGTAAAATGACTAAAGTAGTTGCAAAAATTCTGCAGGATATCTTGCAGTTCATTCTCTTCATCTCTTGGTAGGCTTCATGAGTATCTTTAACTCGCAACTTTTTAACTAAAATTTCAAATACCACCGAAATTGCTGACCTCAGCTCACGCCATATTTGTTTACAATTACACAATCTCATTGCATGATTTTGTCAATTATCACCATCCATCATGAATCATTTGAATTCAAACATGATAGCCAATGATAGTGAATGAAAGTTGAAACAATCATGGCCTATCATCAACTATCATGACCATTTGAATGGGACTTTAGTAAGCTTTAAAACAAGAGCAGTAAGGTAACAAACCTAGCACTGAAGAGAATGACTCTTGATTGCAATTTCTTTATCTTCATTACATGAGATGTGACATTCACACATCCAGTAGGGAACATGATGGTTTTCTCAATCTAATAAATATAACCCATAACAAATTCCAATTACAAGAGCCTCAAAATACCATTTAAAATGAAGGATTCAGTTAACCTGAAAAATTAATACTTTGATAAAAGCATGAAAAACTACAACTACAAGACTATCATGGAGGTTGAGAGGCAACAATCAGAACTGAATGCTGTTATAAAAAGCTAATGGTCATTTGACAATGTATATACCAAACAACATTCAGTTATCTCTGCTCATCTTTGGGCAGTCAGCTTGCCAATTTGCAACATAGATGAGGTTACCAAGTGGTTAGGTGAATTTACATTGAACCTTGCACATCAATTGCAGGTTTCAAATTTCTTTTGGTGTATTTCTAACATAAAGTACTGAGCACTAGAGCTTGTTAGGGTATTATCTGACAAAAAAAAAATTGCAAGATGGACTTGCATCCTATACAGGGAAGGAGGTATAACATGTTCACAACATATACATGCTACACAAACCTGAACACTCTCAGAGGAGGCCTGACTCACAGTAAGACTAACAAACATATTTTGCCACATCATCAGTACATTTTTGTATTGGGGTTCTGAAGAGCAAGAACAGGTTATATGTGTATGCACTATACCTTAATATTATATTCTGCAGCTAGGCCTGTGAACCGGGTTGCAATCATACGGCTGTCCTGGTCATTGCTTGTTAGTAGAACAACACTCTTCCATTCATAGTGCTTCAGCAGTCCCATCCAAACATTAGCCTGATCTGAATATGATGGTACAGTGCGCAAGAAAGACTCATGGATTGACTGCAGAAAAAAAAATTGAATTATATTGTGGGTAAATAATTAAAATAAAATCCTCCTTGAAGTCTGAATTATATTCCAAAGTTAGAGTGGTTGTTTCTTGATAACATATTTCAAGCACAAACACATCCTAGTGGCCCAAAACACTGAATTCAACATAAACTTCTACTAGTACATAGAAAAGCTTTTATTCCATCTCTGCTTAAGTCCATGCATAAATTAGAATAGTATTATTGTAGCTTGTAACCAAATACTGCTATTGCAGGCCAGTAAGATGTCTAATTACCCATAATAAGGTCAGATCATGAGGTAGTTGGTTTTTAAGCAAGGTTTAAAACAATTCAACAATTGACATTCTTACATTTCAATGCTAAAAATAAGTAGTTGTTTAAATGAAAAGGTAACTTACTAGGTTTGGTTTGGCTGCAAATATTACTTTTGCATAATATAGTCTATACATTGGTTTGCACTTAATCATGTATATATATATATATGTGCCAGTTTGTGATTAATTCAGGTTGGCAAAAATTAAAAAATCAAATGTGTTACAAGATACAATTTTCAAAAGGCAGACACGTATACACATTTGCATATAATTTGAAAAGGAAAAGATTCTTTAATAATTAACTAATTTTTACGGATTTTGAAGATTATGTCACAAAAAAATTACTGGTTGCCCCTAGCCTCTGAGTACACCAAAAATATCACAAAGAAAAATTAGTGTATAGTTAAGTTCTTTTAAGTTTTAATAAGAAAGTTACAAGGCAAAAAAAAAACGCAATATAAGTACATGCACAGCTTGAGGTGTTGATGTTTGTACCACAGCATTCTCCTTTGGATTTTATGCAAAACCGAAGATATTTTTGTCAAATCAACTCAGCATTAAACCCTTGTTCAACTTCATCCTCATAAAAATCTTGATGATGTGAATAAAAAGTACCATTTCTTCTTTTTCATCAAATATTGCCTTCAGCTTTGCATGTTCACAATAAAATTATTTTGCATTAAAATGCAATAAATGAAGTTTATCTTCTTCCACATCTCATTTGACCAATGGTAACTTAAGGCACTTAACGAATTTCTATGAGCAATATCTAGTTCAGATAGCTTTTAAAACTTCCACAACTGTTCCCATGTTTTGCCTTGGATGCAGCATGTTAAAAAACAAAACAATGTCTTTCCTGTTACCAATTCTCGTTCAAAATTTCCTCTTTTTCTGTGAATGTTAAGCAAATTATATTAGGTACAAACTTTTCCTTGGTTTTAAGTGTTCACACCGGCAAAAAATTTGCCGGTCTCGTGGCTCTTTTACTGTAAAACGAGAGAGTGGGATTCAGGTAAAATACCCTGATTCAAGAATTATAAACCAGGAGAAATTTTAACCACATAATATTTACGTACATTTATATTGCCAAATAAAATTAAAGTTTTTCAAGCACGTCTTCGACATCGCTAAATACTTCACCGAGTCATCTTCACAGAAATTGGTCAACCTCACTTGTTGAGTTTTACGAGTATCAAAAATGGTCGCGTCGACTGCAAAATGTCATTTTGCAAATTGATAATACAGATTGTGTGGCAATTCAAAGTAATTCCTTTGAAAAAACGAGACCAGTAAAACACAATATATTTGTTCATTTGAGTCCAAAAAATATAACTGGTAACTTTCAATTAGAGCAAAATACTTACACTAGAACATAAACTTCAGAATGTATTTTATCTAATTCAAATTCCCGTCTTACCTTGTCCGAGAAGATAGTTTGTCGCGCTGAAATTCCAATGACAGGAATTTGGTAGAAACCGCAGGCATACGAGATTGAAATTGGCGGCGAAAAGTCGTCTTTTGGGTGGCTGACTATAACAGTAACGACTCCATTGGCGACCAAATTCTCGCAAACATCAAGAGCCGAGCGAATAGGGTTTGAACTCAAAACATAAGAGCTTCCATTCAATTTTACTGTCCTTAGTAAACCACTTGAATTGTCGTTTATTTTTCCAACGGCTTCCTCGAAGATTTTCTCATGGCCTGGAGAGGATAACATTGCTCCTATGCCGAAGAATTTTGCAGTGTTTCCTTCGATCAAAGGAAGGAAAGCGGCATACAAAAACAAAAATCTCCAAAAATTAAAGCGAGGTCTGTCATCCATTGTTGCCAATTTTACATGGAGAAGACTTTCCTTTCCCTGAGATGACTGTCAAAGCTAACAGTTCAGCTTCATGCGAAACCCTAACATAGCAAATATCTATTACAAATTCTTGTCAAAATTGTCAGGTATGTGAATGTTCCGAAATTCAGCGCATTCAGAATTTGTTTTTTCGAAGAGTTCTTTGTGATGAAATAGATTGGTGAAGCACTTGTTCCATAGCAATTCTTTCCCACTGTGTAAACGTTACAGGTAATTGATTGTGGAAGGTTGTCTTGGCTTTTCTGAATGATTTTACATCTCATTTCCTCCCGCCATTTTGACCGTGTGTTTACCGAAGGACAAGGAGCATGAACCTAGTGGGTAGCTAGGTATGATGGGTAAAATATTACTGATTGATCGAAGTCAGGCGGAACCTGCTTGGACGGAAACGTCTGAAATCGCATGTTACCGTCCAAAATAAGACAGGATCCTCTGGGCCTGTTGCATCAGACGGAATCCCAAACAAAATGACATCCTCAACGGTAAGCCGAAATCGTCCAAAATGAAACCGAATCTTCTGAAAGACAGAATCGCCCGAAAACAGACAAGGTGGTCAGTCCAAGACCGAAAAACCAACTAAAAATTGAACAGAATCATTTGAAACCAAGCAGAACCACTGGGAATCAGACGGAACTATCCGGAATCGACAGAATCCTTCCAAATAACATAATACTGAAATGTTCCAGCAAAGTTCCCAGATTCAAGGGACAGGGAAGTCCGAAATTGCAGGTGACCGAGGAATACATAAGTATTCATTCCCCAAAATGGGACCTAGAATTAGGAAGAAAGAAGAAACGTTGTTGCTATGGTTTAAGCCCGTTCTCGGTTGTTTAAGATCTTGGAAGACCCTTAAATGAGGGCCCTGAAGTGTCGCCCACTTCAAGCAATCCATCAATTCATCCTTTCACTTCAAGCAATTCATCCTATCTCACTCACTATTTTGATTTAATTTTCTGACAATAGGCATTGGCTCACGGTAGCGAATGATATAGCAGCTGATGAACAATAGCCAGACACTTCTTAAGTTTACTAATACCAGCATTGTGCGTAAACTAAACTGAGATAGAGGTATAAATTGCTATAGTATTTGTGATAACAAAGTGGCTTTATCCGGAAAGTGAATCTTTAAATACTGTACGCGAGAGATCGCAGCTTTAGGGAGAGAACAGAAGGCGAGACAGAAGGAATCCCAGTGATACAAAAGAGAAAAAAACATTTTGTAAAAAGTGTACCTGACCGTCCTTTGGGGCGCCTATTGTTTTGATAACAACACCAAAGTAAATGGTACTGATTGAAAATTGCATAACGGCGGCTTAACAGAGATAATTAATGTTCACCAAAGAGCGTCCGAATAGTGTGTTGACTGCAAAGAAGACAGCGCGCCACCGAAAAATCCCGCGATAATGCCGGATAGTAGAGATGGTCAAGTTGTGAAGTTGCCGCAAATTGCCGCCAGGGAACGTGGTCCTGGACCGGCAAGATATATGTTGAAAAGCCTGTGCAGATCCGATAGCCATGACATAACCAAACATCGTAATCCTGCATATAGCTTAGGCCCAAGGTTGCAACCTGTCAAATCTTTCAACAGCCCTGGGCCGTGTTATCTTCCTGCCCCTGGAGTGACCAGCGTGGGACCCGACGGAACCCCTAAATGGTCCATGCTAGGAGCTGCGAGCAAAACGACAAAATTTAACCCGCCAGGTCCAGGTAGGAATGATATCTGGGTTGGTAACTTGTGGTAACCAGTTTCGCTGAAGTGTAAACATATAATTTAAGTGTAAAGTGTAAAGACAAAGCATTTGATCACGTTGCACCAATCAAGTTTAATATGATCATAGTGGGTAATTTACCTTCAAGTGAACATCTTTGGCAAGACATAAGAAGCTTCACAATAAAGTTTGCGGAGAGAGAAATCGTTTATTATAAAGCAAAAACCAACAGAATACGGTGTTAGCGCTTTTGTGTGGATTTCACTGGACAATGTTGAGCAGCTTAACACATTTGTATCTCAAAGTCGGTATAATCACACGTATAAAACTTTCTCTAGACGTTTCTTTACCAGTTTTTCTGTAAGGTTCTAATTTTTAAAAGGATTTATTGGGTGAGATTTGAAAACAGAGGTAATTTACTACTTTAACCTCCGAACCTGAGAGAGCCTGTGTCCGAAAACAATCGGACAAATGATTAACTCTTAAATCCAAAAGGAAACAAACTTCCAAACTGAGACTCCACCAAAACTGAAGAAGTCCCTCACGCAAAAATCGTACGCGTAATAAATGCTCCAGCAGATGAAGATGTGTTTTCATATTTCACACGTCAGTCTAAAAGCGTGCGCGCGCTGGTCGCGCGTCACACCAGTTCGATTCTCACTTCTCAGCTGCATTATTTTTTTATCTTGAATATAATCAAAACCACAATATTTTTTCAAATTATTCCAAACGTTCTAGAAATCTTGATCATTTCAAATCTTCTCTTACCGGCCGCTTCTCTCAAAACTGTATGACCATTCAATATCAGTTTAACTCATAGACTCCATTCAGTGTTTTTTATGGGTCTATTTAGTTGTAGATCACAGATAACCTTAAAACAATTGCAGTATGAGAGCAAAACAAAACGTGGCACACGAGCCACAGGCCAAACCAAAGGAAAAGAAATTAATGTGTATTGCCAGCCTTGCAGGGTACTTCGATAGATCGCAGCCAACAACCAATAACAGTGGGTGTTGCATTTAGTTCATCGTTTAAGTAAGGTATACTTTTCAGCGTCGTTACCATCGAGGTTTTTCTGAATGGAATCACTGTTTGAAGGAGCTTCGTCGTGGTTTGTGTCTCCTAAAAAGATTTTCAGGAATCTTACACCGTTCCTCAAGTTTTTTTTTCACAATTTGTTCCGATCGTCTTTATCTCTAGCCGCATTCTCGTCAGTTTTCCCTTTGATTATCATTATCTCTTTTATGTCCTTAAATTTAACAAGGCTAATGTCTTGTCGACCTCCTCAACTTGAAGATAGTTTTTAATATCGCAAAACAAAATCTTAACAAGAACGACGCAGCCTCGAATTGTATTTCCGCTTGCATTAGAAAGTGTTTATACCCCGCCTACAGCTGATTCGTCCGGAAGAAAGTCACCAGTACCCTCCCTCAGAATACAATGGGTGCTTTTTCCAGAGAAACAGTCATTCGGGATGTGCGCGGTTTCTTGATTTTCGTCAAATTCTTTTGGCTGTAATGATTTCCGATGTCTTCCATCTGTTGGTTTTAATTTTTCCTTTTTACCATTTTTGTTTTTCTTGCGAGTTTTAGTTGTTCGGTTTTTATGGCTCTTTGGTTCCAGTCGAACCCCATGACATTATAATTCGGATGTAATATTCAATATGTGACGTCACCCATTACAAATTAGGTTCGCGTTAATTCAATTTTCCATTGTTTGATAAACGATCAGTGTTATTGCTTGGCCAACATGGTCTTTCGGCCAGGATAACCAGATAAAAAGACAAACAGGCTGTGAAATACAACCGTCTGTTGAAAACAAATGGCGCAACAAAATGAGGCAAATAAGGAAGACAGAGACGAAAGTCAAAAAGAGGTTGAAATCGGTGCGAAATGTCGGGGACCTGGGCCGGCGAAATATCTTCTTCCTGGAACCATTGGAGTTGAAGGCCATGATATTCGCAAGCACCGATGTCCCGCATTTAGTTTTGGCCAACGACATAAGGAATTTTCGTCTAGCATTAGTCCTGGTCCAAAGTACATGTTCACCGCCTATGTAACGCGAAATGGAAGGGAAGCAGCCCCAGCGTTTTCACTTTACAGTCGCACAACAGATAAGGTCAACCTTTACACACCCGGCCCAGGTAATCGGGAAAAACCATTTGATAACTATTATTTTTGATACAAAGGAAGTAGGGTTTTACGCTTCTGTTGCCATAAACAGACAAATTGAGGTTCTTGTGTGAAAGTAAAGGATGACAAGTATTTTTGCCGGAAGTGATTGTTTGAAAAGCGGAGATGACATGTATTTTGGCGCCCTCTGCGTCGTTTCTTACGACAAAAGCTCTTTAGGTTTGAAAGGACTACCATTGACTATGAACGAAGAAAAGTAAAATCTTTTTTTGAACTGGTCAATCCTGCTGAATATTAACTTAACTCAAATTAGCCACGATTACTGTTTCCCGCACTTGTGGTCAGTTGTTCCTCCATGGTGACCTCTATTTGTTTGTTCGCTTGTTTATTTTACCTGGCTAAAATTTACAACACTCAGATTCGTTTTTTTGTTTTTTTTTTTCAGGACAATACTCTCCAGAAAAATTCCATCCACCCCACGAACGAAGCGAGCCAAGCTTTACCTTTGGGAAACGTACCAAAATATTATTTAAGGACCCCACCCCCTCACCAAATTCCTACTCCCTCCCACCCCTCATAGGACCAAAGGGTGTTAACAAGGCCTCAGCCCCGGCTTACTCGTTAAGCGGACGCTCTGCTATTGGCGGATTCAGTGAAGATCTCAAAAAGGTTAATCAGTTATTGTTTATTGAGAAGTACCCATATATCGCAGATAATTTTTTTGTCGTTGTAATTTAATGTAAAAGTAACGCACAGTACCAAGTGGCAGTGGCAAGGGGTCGAATGACCAGAGTGACCTTTATTAGATATTTTAGTCTATTCTTGAGCCAGACACTAGATGGATAGATCGAATGATTGTCAGATGGCGCAGTTTACATTCGATTCAGAAGCCCATCAGTTCGGAAATGATAAGTAAGAACTGGTCCATGTCCATGTCCATATCCATGTTCATGTGTGTGCACGAGATACGCTGTTAGTAAAATGAGCAGGAGTGCGATTTAAAACGCCAGACGAGGCATAACTTTTTCCCTGACAACCGCAACATCCGCCTGCGCTTGCTTGCCATTTTTCCGGGCGGTTCTTTTTCGTTCGTCTCCACTTCCTGAGAGCCTACCACAGGCTGTTTTTTAGCCTCTCAACTATCAATTACACCGTTCCGTGATGCAAATTTTTTTTTGTTTGTTTGTTTGTTTCATTGTCTGTTTATCTCGACGAAGACACCCGGCCCAGGAACTTACGAGGTAACTCATCCTAATACAAGCAGAAAGAGAATGCCAGCATACACTATGAATGGACGAAACTACATGCCAACAGATACAACATTAAAACCAGGACCGGGACAACACAGCCCTGAAAAGGTAGGCTTGCATAACTTAGGACTGACTGTGGTAAGTATTTAACTTAGCCACTGATCTCTCGCACCTCGACATCTTCACCCGTGTACCTATACTAAAATCATTTGTGTGTGCAAATGATCCGCTTAGATGATACATACTTTTAACTTTAAGATACGAATGAAATACTAGAATCTATCCTGCTCCTTAAACATTGCACGATGTGAACATACTATTTGTATCTGTTACATCTGGAGATGAGAATTTCATCAAGCAGGGGAACCAATTCAACTTCGGCATGGCGTTTTCGCCTCGGCTCGGGATTTGCTAACTTTTCTTGTGTTCGTCAAACATCCCGAGTGGGCTACCACGACGGTAAATCGATAGAAAGAACTATATGATGAAGAGGCTTTCCAAAGCGTGGATATGATTAATATTGTTAGGCTACTGATAACGATATTGGGTATTTTCATAGCGAATAAATGTCGTATTGGGCATATTAAATTATTACAACTGTTCGCCAATTACCCTAAGTTTTGGGTTCCAATGCAAAGCATTAGTAACTCGTGTATCATGTATCCTGAGAAGCTAGAACTCCTTCTGCATTCCAGAACGCAACGATATGAGTTTAGAACAAAGGTGATGTTTGGGAGCGGGAGTGTTCAGGTGATCGAAATGTAGAGACCAGTTCGTATGCATGATCAAGCAAAATGGACCTATGCGATATGCCACTTTGCGCGTTTTTTTAGGCACTATACGAGGTGTACCAATGCGCGAAATTTTTAGATGCGTGTTCTTGGATACTGCAAGGTATGTGTAACTGCGCGCATTTAGACACTGTGCGACATCTATGAACGTGCGCTTTTAGACGGCGTGTGATGTGTGTAGTGGCCCGAATAGACATTGCCAGATGCAAGCCTTTGGACAAGGCGCGATATGTGCACACTTTTTGAAACTGAGTTTTTTATTTTTATTGCGACTATCATTGCTCATTAATGTTTTTAAGATCATTTTTATTATCATCATCATTATTATCACTAGCTATTCTTTCTGAACTGTTCGGCGTTGAGTCTCTTTTGTGAGAAATCGTTTAACGCGTCCTTGAAATTATCGAGCTTAGGTCCTAAATCAAACGATAACAAAGGCTGACTTACTCGAGAATTATAAGATTCGACTAAACTTTAATGCATGGCTCAATCCAGGATTACTTGTGGTGCGACATCATCATGAACACTGTTGCTGACTTGCTTGCGTTTCTGTTGAGCTTGACGGCGATTGACTACCTCTGCGATGCTGAGGTATTTCTCCACACTTCGTCTGGTCCTGGTCACAGATTAAAGTAACGAAAATAATGATGATATGGTTGCATTTGTTACTCCACAGGCTGTAGATCCCACGGCAGGCCCGAGCTTTTCATTCCGCATCAGACATTCTGAATATATGCTACCTATTCAAGAAGATCCATTACGATAACCTGACTAGTTACGAGGTAAACGCGACTAAAAATCACCCTCAAAAGTGCGGTATTCAGGGCGTTTATCACACCAAGTCTACACCATCAACTTCTCAAAATCTCATATCTGGTTGTTAGCACCAAACGTAATTTTAACACTCAACTTTTTACATTCTTCTTTTTAATTCGTAATCGCTTGTATCCAGCAGAACCTGTCCCCAGATCTTGCTCATGCGACACTCCTCCCCAGTATTTCTACAGCTTTGTTACACTCTGTTCCATTCTCAACCCATTCGTCTGTCTTAATTTCTTCTAACTTGCTTTTAAAATAACCATGCACTGTGTCATCAATGCATCTGTTGCAACGAACCTCTTCCTTTTATTCAGTACGCATTCCTTGCGATTGTCACAGCACGCCCACCCAACTTCCTAACCACTCCTTGGCTGGTAATAGCATCTACTATTCTAACTAATAACTCACTCTTTTCTCAAATAAAACACATCATCACTGCTTTAAAGGGATAATATCATTCCGCAAGCCGAAAGAGTGTTAACTTTAGTCACCGATTTCGTTCACTTTGTAATCAGAGGTAGCTAGTCAACTTAAATTGCTGGGCGCTTACCTCGCTAAGTTACTATCAACTAAGTTAGGTAGGAGTACATATGACGGCCTCGAGATCTATCAGTACTTATTTCCTTAGTCAGTTAGGCTAGATTATGAGCCATATAGGTTACTTAAAAGAGGAATAAAAATTTTATGAAATCATGTACTGAAACGTATTTAGTGTTGTCTTGTCTATTGTTTGTTTGACGTAACTTCAGAGCTTAGATATCAAGTTACAGCAGGCCGAATATAATTGAAGCAAGTGAAAGAAGCTCACAAAGACTTTAACTGACGGGATACATTTACACTCAAAATAACTTATAGTTCTGAGCTTAGTATAATGGTGGTTTAACTAAGTTAATTGGATCTGCCACTAGTCCAATGTCTGAAAGATAACTTCCATAAATTTGTTTAAACCCAGTATTGCCTGGCACCATGCATAGAAACGGATCCTTTCTACTTCGCAATAGTTCGATAGTTGCAAGAGTCGACAAATATCACAGGAGAGACAAATCTACTTTTCTAACGCCGCCTTTCTGTGCACATCTATCTTACCGTAGATAAACTCACTTATGGTCACTGGTTCCCTATCAACAAAAACACTAACAGAGAGTAATTCATGGTCACTCGAATTAATTAACTATAGGATAGATTCGCGGACTCAGGGTCAGACTACCCGCCTTAGCTATTAAATCTTTTGAAAAAGGAAATCATGAATTGTCTCCTTACAATTTCAATAAAACCATAGAGAAAACTAGTGAATTAGAGAGAGTTTAGGTAAGAATTTAGGAAGCTAGTGTTATAGTTATCTGAATTGAATACGACTGACTGAGGTGTTACCGCTAGAGCGCATTTCGATTGAGCGCGATAAGAACTTAAAGAAAAAACAGGCAAACTGCCAGGAGAGCGGAAAGCGCGAGCGACCAAGTTGCGATGGGTTTTAGTTTTGAACCTAATTGGTTTAGAAAGTGTCGCGAGATTTCTTGACAAGTCACACAGCAACGTAAGGTAAAGCCATCCCGGACACTCAATTGAACAATCGATCTGCTGTCTAGATTGAATAAAATGTCTTTTGATTCACGTAACGCAGGTAGAAAGGAGAATTATGATTCAGGTGTTGAAAGTTAAGAAGGTTTTAACTTCTACTAAGATTGCTCTTTGTTTCGTTTTTCAGGTTGTGTACAACAAACCAACTGCACCAAAATTCAGCTTTGGTATACGACACAGTGATTACATGACTGTTCCCCTATTTGCACGTGATTAATACGCCAATCAAAGAAGTGACGTTATAATTACGAGTTCAGTAAAAATGTACAGAATATTTACCGAAATACTGCATGAGAGTTATGTTTCATTGACTTATAATGCTATTTCTAAGAGAGGGAAACATCTTCCATATCGGAAGTTCAAATGCCTTTTACTGAGTTGACAGATCCTTTCCAGCAGAATTTCTTATAAAGTCTGTCGCCAGAAAATTAAAGCACCAGTGATCATTGATATACGCAATTTGTAAAATATCTTGTCAAAAGTTTTGAAGAAAATAAAAACGGATAGAGTGATTGTGAAAATGGCCATCATGAAGCTGTGAACGATGCCAACTGCAAGTAAAAATACTCCATAAAAGTAAATCATTCCGCCACTCAACCGATGCCTTTGACTTTGCAAGCGTCGACGACAGACGTTTACCGCTAACTTGCGTTATCCACCCTGACTGGTTGGATGTGTACGAAATAAATTCATTTCCGTCAACATCTCGAAAAAGTATCTGACTATTGCCTTAAACAACCAGGTTATTTTCGTCCACATCTCGAAAAAGTCTCTGGCTATTGCCTTAATAACCACGTTATTTTCGTCGTTTTCTCTTCTTCTTCTTCTTTGAATGCCCGCTGCTCATCGAGGCACCAAGGCTCAAAGCTGCCATGGCTTCAGCCGCTGTCTCGTCTTCCATGGGCTCAGGGCTTACTTCCTCCACTGATTCCACAGGCTCAGGAACCTGAAAAGAAATGAACGAATTTACATCTACAAGTACAACGATCCAGGAGAAAAGGAAAATAACAAAGTTCATACCTCGGGCGCAGGCTCTACGGTTTCTGCCCCTGGTGCTTTGTTAGTTGTGGGTACCAGTCTCTGTCTTGATGCAAACTGCCGACGAACTACGACACAATCAGACTTGTTTAAGCGAGATTATGCACAGAGCAAATAAAGGAAAATACTTCACAAACTTAGAAGTGCAATGCCTTGATTAAGTTTTCAGCTTCGACACTGATCAGCTTTTGAAGCAATAATGAATAAAAAAGTACAACATGGGGTTGCCATAGCAAAACAAATGACTGGCCCCTACTATACATAATAATAGACATGAAAAAAATACGCGCTTCTGATTGGCTGAAAACGAGTGCATTCTCATAAACGCGAGTGAAAAATTACAAATGGCGCGCTCACGCTTTCAAAACTTCGTCTGTCTTGACTTTCGGTGACATCCTCTTTCGTGTACATTACTAACAGGTAAGAACATGACTTCTCTGCAATTTGTGGTAATAAGCTCTTGTAAATTTTTCACAGACTACAAATTGCACTTGCTCAACGGGTTCGTGCAATTTTGTTCTCTTTGAAAAATTTACTCGTGCCAATTAACACCAAATTTCACTTGAAGTCATGTTCTTACCTATACAAAAAACTCTTGATTCATTATCTTGGTGTCAAAAGTGCAAAAATAGAAGAGTTTTTCTTATGACAAAAGCGATGCTCATCAGAGGTGACTACACTGCAAAACGTTTAGTGTCAGCACACAAGTAGATATCGTGAGCTGCAGCTGAGGCCTTTGTGGTCTTGATATAATGGTCATGTTTAAAAGGACGGAAATCATGTCTGTGTTGACATAAACTAAGTGAAGTCATCAAGTCACACGATTACTGTTCTGGGCCAGTTATTTACACGACAACCTGTGGGCCTCCGTTTTTCTCCATAGGAGGGTTGATTTAATCAAATAAAAGTCTTTCCACTGTTAGCTTTCGGCCTTCTTCGCACTGTTCACTTAAATAAGTATTCAGACGAAAAGGTTCAGCTTAATTGAAAATTATTTAAATGGCAGGACGCAGTTTTGTGAAACAACGGCTAAACTTTGTTTAAAGAACCGGCCCTTTAAGACTGTCCAAGAGATCGCTTGACTGGCTAAATATAAGTTAGATTATAATGTAAGTAATAAGCGCCCGGGAACCGCAATTGCTAATGAATAAACTCGAGTAACACCTGTATGAAACAGCAAATGTTAGATAATTACCTAGGTTGCTCTCAGTAAAATCAACAACTCTTAAACCTTGTTTCTCGCCACCAAAACTGAAGACAAATGGGGAGTCGGGACAACATTGGGTGTGAAGAATTCCTCCCTGAAAAAAATGAAAGAAGTCTTACCCTACAAGTAGTTTTCCGATTATTAATTTAACTTCAATATTACGGAATGAATAATCTTTAGATCTACAGCTTTACTTACAATTTGAAGATTTCTGGAAGCCACAAATGATGGTTTGTTATCCTAAATAATATTGGGAAAAATAAAGAAAGAAAATAATAAGAGAGAAGAAGTAAAAAAAGGTATTGAAAGACAAGGACGACTCCTTGTGAATGACAGAAAGCGACATTTCAAGTAAAACGCTTGACCAACACCTTGACCTAACATCTTTCACTGTTACTTTAGGGATCAATATCAGTATCTGGGCAACTGCCCACCTACCCCTCCCCTAACTCAACGACAATCAATTGACAACAAGTTAAGGTTGATGTTGGGTTAGGGGAGGGGTAGGTGGGCAGTTGCCCAGATACTGATATTGATCCGACTTTAGTATGGGCGAAGCATTTAGTTACAGCTGTTTCGAGAAAGGTTGTCGGAAAAAAGCATAAAGATGCACGAGAAAACCCAAAAGGTAATGTGGGTAGTTTCAGGTCACAGATTTCCTTGACCTCGGGATTTTAGGGAAATCTGAGAAAACGAAAGGACGTTAGGACAAGGCATCGCGAGTTTGATTAATTTATTTCACTTATTAGAATTCACTGATTACCGGGTAACCAAATTATCTTTCGAGATTGTTGCGTTCGCTTTTGCCCTTTTTTTTTTAAACAGCTGTATACATACTTGTGTTCGCATGACTTTGTATTCCAAAAATGTTTCATTTTTAATCAATAATTACTTTAGTTAGTTCCTTTGACTGTTATTTATTGCCAAGCGTCCTACAAATGAACTTTTGGCTCTGAGGTAACTAATAGGGATAAAATGTTGCGATCTTCAATTGCAAGCAAATCTAAATCGCGAGACAAACCAATTAACTCTCACTTATCACCCGACCTGTATGTCCCAGACTTTGACAGTCTCATCAGCTGACGCAGTGACAAGACATCCGGGTACCTGGCTGCTTAGTGCGAGACCTTGAAACGCAATGGGAAAGATTATAAATCGCTCAAATGAGTGACTTTGCATGTAGAGTTTTGTTCAAATACAGCGTAGTAAAAAATGACAAATGATTTGAAAAACATCTCAAGGAGTCAATGAAAAGTCAAGTAACACCCCAAAACGCAACCAGTAACGCAGGTAAACACGGTACCGGGACTGGGACTGAGGACCAATCATTAATTATCGCCTGAGGAGGGAATGGGGAGAGGATCGGAGGATTCATTTTGAGGGAAGGAACACATGATTTTCAAGGGAACGGAGGGAGAATCAGTCGTCGCTAACAGAGTATAAAGGGGGAACTGTAGTAAATTGACTGCCAAAGAGGGGGGATCGTTTCAATACTACAAAGCTTTAGGGATGGTTTGGTAAATTTTATTGTGACAAAACCAAAATCCAACGATGCCCTCGAGGAGGGGGGGGATCAGTCCCTTAGTTTTGTCTTTGATTTTGACAAAAAACATCAAAGTTTGCTATCAAAGTAGTTCAACAATTCTACAGATTCTGACCGCTAAAAGCGCAAAACAGGAAAACTGCTTTTGTTTTCAACAAAAAGGCCTAGAAATTGCTACAGGATAACATCTCTCATCGTGTCATAGTAATTTTACAGAACCATGAGTACTTCACCTGGTATCGCATTATCATGCGCTTTGAGAGTAAACACTGGGCCGTCCGCCCTGACGTCACAGCAAAACACGTGACCATCTTCCGTGCTGATCTGTACAAACACCATGATACCGATTAAGTAGAACAAGGAAATTGTGGAGATTGTTTAGACTGTTCTGTTAGTCTGAGCGCAATAGTATCTCAGAGAAAAAGAAGGCGGGAGGATAAGGCGGCTTCTACGTAACACATTCCCAAACCTCGCCTTTGTTTGCTTTGTGCTACCAAGTCGCCCTGTCTAGTAACTGAAAGTCTGGAAAAATTGACAGCTAGCTCGTACTACTCGAGAACACGACAACAACCTCAGAACAGAGCGCAATGCTAAAGAAGCAACTCTTAAAGTACTCATTATTTGTGCTATCAGTTTCAGTCTTGAGAATATGGCGTGAAAAATTACACGGGATAAGGAAAACTAGGTTATGATTCAAGTAGTGTAGCTCACAAAGAACCCTTTGGTATGATACAATATCTACGAAATTGTAAGGTTACTTACTAAAAAATTGTACGGTGAGAAATGATTCCACAGAACTCTTTCCACCTCCGCACCAAATTTCCAAGATTTAATGTTACTCTGGGAAAAGAAATAGTTTCTCAATATTAGGAGAAAACCTTCTGTAAGTTGCAAAGTTTGGTTTATTTTAAACAAATGGCTCTTATAAGAAAAAGTCCTTCCTTTTGCTATGAAGATCGTCTTTCTGAGTTATCCAAGCTGTACTTCCGCCTCAGATTCTTTCGAAAAGGTGAATGACAGGAGTTCCCAACAACACCAAACTATACCAACTGTAGGTCTATGGCAGAACTTACCTCAGGACTTCTGCAGTCAACCACTTTGGCCTTTCTGTGAACACAAGAGCACCAAATAATTTATTTACCAACATGAAAGCCTCTCTGGTAATTGATAAATTTTACTACAAGTAATGTACATTATCTATCATGTACGATCACTATTTTGGCTTCCTCTCAGCGACTTATTCCAGAAAAAACTGTGCAACATAACAATGACATGACAGACTTACACACAAGTACTAGAAAACGTGCCAACTGGTACACGAACCAGAGGAAATCACGACTCATCCCCACTCTTTAAATTCAATCCTTTAAAACTCTGAACATTCCATGAGATAATACTCACTTATCAAAGGAACCTGTAAGTAATG